CCTCCCCCCCCCCCTCCCCCTCCCCCTCCTCTTTTTTTTTTTGAGACATGATCTCACTATATAACTCAGAGTAGCATGGAACTCCCTATGCAGCCTAGTCTGGCTTCAAACATGTTTTTCTGCATCTGCCTGGAAGTCCTAGGATTATAGTCATGCACCATACCTGGCTACAATATGAGGTTTTTTGTTTGTTTTGGGGGGGTTTGTGTGTGCACGTGTGCATGTGTGTGTGTGTGTGGTGTATGTTTGTGGTGCATGCATAGCTGTGGGGGTGTACATCTGTGTTTACAAGCACAGGCCAGAGAAGGGCATCCAGTTCCTCCTCTTTGTCTGCCTTATATCTTTGAGACAGTCTCCTTATATCTGTCTTCCTTATATCTTTGAGACAGTCTCTCTCCCTGAACCTGGAACTCACTTCCCTGTCTCCATCTCCTATAGCACTGGGGTCACAGCTTGTTACACGAGTGCCGGGATCCAAACTCAGCTCCTCGTGGTTGCACAGCAAGCACTCTCAAACACTAAACCATCTCTCCAACAATCTAAGTTTTTTAAACCTCATCACAGGCTAGATTTGATGGAGCATGCCTTGTAATAGTTTAAGGTCATCCTCAGAAACACAGTGAGTTTGAGGTCAGTCTGGGGTATATGGGACTCTGTCTCAAAAAATCTAGGAGGCTGGAGAGATGGCTCAGGTGTTAAGAGTTGTGGCTACTCTTGCAGAGGACCTGGGTTTGGTTCCCAGCACCCATATGGCAGATAATAACCATTCATAACTCCAGTTCCAAAGGATCCAATGCCCTCGTCTGGCCTCTGAGAGCACTGCACAAGGGTGCACTTACATGCAGGTAGAACACTCACGCACTAAAATAAATAAAAATTTTAAAACAACTAACAGAACTGGAGATGGCTCAGTGGTTAAGAGTGCATGCTGCTCTTGCAGAGAATCTGAGTTTGTTTCCCAGTATCCATATTAGGCAGTTCACAACCATCTAACTCCAGGTCCAGGAGATCTAGTACCCTCTCTGGCCTCCTCAGGTACTGTACTCATGCACAAACCCACATTCAGATACACAGATATTCACTTAATTAAAAGTAAAAATGGGACCAGGTGTAGTGGTATATGCTTTTAATCCCAGCTCTCAAGAGGCAGAGGCAGATGGATCTCTGTGAGTTCCAGACCAGCCTGATCTATACAGTGAGCTCAAGGCCAGCCAGAGCTACATAGTAAGACTGTTTCAAAAATGAATAAGTAAATAAATAAAAGGGGAAAACACAAAACACAACTCACTAAAGTTTATTAACAAAATTATTGGTGTAGGAGTAACAAGAACCTGATCTATCTCTTCCTCTCCCTCTCTCTCTTTCTAAAGAGTCTTGCTATATAGCCCAGGCTGGCTTCTTACTCATGATCCTCCTGCTTCAGTCTCCCAGGTGCTAGGAATACAAGTATGCACCATTATCAGATAACCACTGTTTATTGAGCATATACTATATACTAAACGCTAATCCTCACAGTAGATATTTAAAACAATGAGGGGCTGGCCAAGATGGCTCAGCAATAAAGTGATTGCCATGCAAGCCTGACAACCTGAGTTCAATTCCTGGCATCTATGTAAAGGCAGAGAGAATAGATTCCACAAAGTTGTCTTCTGACCTCCACACATGCTGTGGCATGTGTGTACCCTACATATACATCACACAGACAATAATAAACAAATAAATGAGTTAAAACAATGAAGCTCAGAGATGTTCTGTGCCTTATTCAAGGATGGTTTGATCCCCAGGCCCACATGGCAGGAGAGATCTGACTCCTAAGAGTTGTCCTCTGATCTCCACACACATACCACATTATGCATGTGCTCATGCACACAGACACACACACACTTTTTTTTTTTGAGAAAGGGTCTCACTATGTAGCCCTGGCTGGCCTGGAACTCCCAATGGAGACTAGGATAGCCTTGAACTTGGACAGACCCACTTGCCTCTGCCTCCTGGGTGCTGGGATTAAAAGTGTGCACCACCATGCCCAACATAATTTTTTTTTAATGCAATAAAAGATTTCCCAGGGCTGGAGAGATGGGTCAGTGGTTAAGAACACTGGTTGTTCCCGACATGGGTGCACTTATCTACATGCAGGCAATACACTCATACACATAAAATTTAAAAATACTAAATATTAAAAAAAAAAAGGTGCCGGGCGTGGCACATGCCTTTAATCCTAGCACTTGGGAGGCAGAAGCAGGCAGATCTTTGTGAGTCTACATAGTGAGTTCCAGGACAGCTGGGGCTACAAGGAGACCCTATCTCAACGAAAAAAAAAAAAAAACAAAAAAAGATGATTTCCCTGAGCCTGGCATGGTGGCACATGCCTTTAATTCCAGCACTTGGGAGGCAGAGACAGGCAAATCTATGTCTACACAGTGAGTTTCAGGCCAGCTGGGGCTATTCTACGAGGAGACCCTGTCTCAAAAAGACCAAAAAAAAAAGATGATTTCCCAGGAGGCTATTTTAGCACTGACATTATGTGTGTCTGCAGAAATTGTTTGAGGCATAGGCTTGGGCAATGGGTAACACATGTGTTCATCAGGCACCAGACCTTTCATAAGTATGGCCTCTTTAATCCTCAACAATCCTATGGTGATGTGACAGAGCACTTGCTCAGCATGCGTAAGGCCCTGGATTCTATCCCTAGCACCACAAAATAATCCTATCAGACACATCCTGTTCCCTTCCTTTAACAGATGAGGAGCCAGCCTAAAGCTTGAAGAAATCAAATGAAATGTATAAGCCTCCACAAAAGGCTGAGTTTGCAAGATACACTCTGGGTTCATTTCACATCAGCTTTCCTCATTACTGGGCACCCAGGTGAAGGACACAAACTCCTCTATCCCAGCTGTCCAAAAGTACCAATGCACAGTGCTCTAATGTTAAGATCTACTCTAATGGAACTCTATGGCTTCCCTTGGGCTGGGACGGGGCAACCCTGCTTCTTTTCCACGGGTGTGGAGAGAGGTGTTCTCACTTCTTTAGCAAACATTCTTTGAGTACACTGTCCTCAAACTTGTGGGGATGCCAGGCTAGGGAAACAGAAAAATGAGAGAACAATTAGGGAAAGACAGGTTAGCACAAGGTCAGAAGAGCTAAGGGTGGTAAGTGCAGAGACGGGGGTAACACTGGCACTGCATGGAGGAGGGAGGAGCAGCCTAGTCAGGGGAAGCCAAGCCCGGGAAAGCCAGAGCTGAGCCTCCCTCTCCGCCAGGAGGCCACCAGAGGTGGTGCAAAGGGCAGGGTGCATCCGGAGACCTGGTTCCTAGATCCAGGGCTACCTAGGCATGGCGCAGAGACTGTTCTTGGGCAACTCTCTCACCCCCTCTGTTGACCCACCTGTACATTCTGGGTTGAGGAAGCAGTTTGTTCAGCCATAGTCCTTGGGAATTCCCCACTGTACCCCAGCCCTCATCTCCTCCATCTGTAACTTCCGGAGGGAGGAGCTGTCCGGCCCAGAGGCTCCCAGAGCGCGCTAAACAGGCAAAGGGCCACTACTTCTATCCTCTGCCTCCTCCCACGCTCCAGAACGCAAGGCCTGTCTCTCCTATTTTTTTTTTTTCCTCTCAGTTCAGACCCAGGTCCCCAACATAACAAAGACCCTGCCCAGCTGGGCGTGGTAGTGTACACCAGCAATCTCAACAATTAGAGAAGGCTGAGGAAGGAGGATTCCGAGTTCGAATCATACACAGTGTGACCTCTTTTCCAAATCAAGACCTTACCCACCTTTCTCACCTCCCCCATTCTTTTCCAGACTCTCCTTAGGCCTAGATCCTGGCTCCGGACTAACCCCTGAATTCCAAACCTACGAGTCTCTGCTCATTCTGGTCCCCGACCCTGCCCCTGTACGAGGCACGCGGCTACCCTCTCCAGCTTCTCACCGCACAGCAGCCGCAGTCACAGGGTCCCCAAGTCGGGGTCCCGGGTTCCCCAGCAGCCGCCGCGCTGCTGCAGAGATGATGCACAGCCGCGGAGCCATGTTGGAGCAGCGCAGGTTGGACAAAGGCCCCGCCCCAGCCCAGCGGCGGAGGCGGGCGCAGGAAGGGCACGCCCCTCCGTCTCCCCACCCCACCCTCCCCCCCGCCCTGCGATCTGGTGGGAGTCCACCCCAGAAGACTCTCAACTCCGCGGAGGCTTGGGCCCAGTCCATACCCACCACCACTGGCTGGCTTTGTTACTTTGAACAACCCCTTTCCCACTCTGTACCTCAGTGTTCTCCTCGGTAAATGGGAGCATCAAATAATAAGTCCTGGGATTCTGAGCATGAGCCAAAGAGGATCTGTGTATTCCTAAAACTGTATACATTATGTGTGCCTATGAGTTCCCTTCCCACTTCGATGCTGCGGTGCTGGCAGTGGTACCCTGAGACTCCCTTTTAAGATTTAGTTTTAATTATGAACGTTTGTGTGTTTGTGTGTTATGTACGTTTGTGTGTTTGTGTTTTGCGTGCAGGTGTCCATGGAGGCCAGAGACATCAGATCCTTCTGGATGGTGAATCACAGGCACACACACTTGGGTGGGTGCTGGGCACCAACTCAGGTCCTCTGCAAGAGCAGTACCCATTCTTAACTGCTGAACCATCTCTTCAGCCTCTCAGACAATTTAAGACAGCTGGGCAAAGCTCTGAGCAAGCAGAATGCTTTCTCTCCAGAGTTGATGTGTGATGGTTTACACTTTTAATCCCAGCATTTAAAAAACTGAGGCACAGGTAGTGGGAGCCCCTGGAAGTGGTCAGTGCCTTTAATCCCAGTACTCAGGAGGTAGAGGTATGCAGATCTCTGTGAGTTCAAGGCCAGCCTGATCTACATATCGAGTTCCAGGCAATGTGGGGCTACAAGGAGACCCTGTCTTGAAAAGATAACAACAAAAAGCTTAGGCAAGAGAATCAGGGCTACATAGTGAGTTTGAGCCAACTTGGGCTACAGTATGAGCTCTTGTCTAATGAAAAGCCTTCTCTCTACCATCTCATTCACCTCTGGGGCCTTTTTACCTGCTTTTCTCCCATGCCTACCCCTTTTGCCTTCCCTGCAAACAAATTGTTTCTCAGCCCACACAAACAGGAACAGAAAGCCTGCTGACCCCTGTGGAATGGGAAGAGGGACCCAAGGACAGAGACACAGCAACTAAGAGAATGTCTGCCCACTGACTGGTAACTCTTTCTGGGTGTGCCTGGGCTTGTGGAGGGCATGACTGATTTCCTGACTCCTTCAATTCAATTGAGCTGGTGAGGTCTCATCTAAGCTCTGGAGACACCAAAGTTTGGCAGAACAAGTCCTATTTATACCTCTTGGAAAGCAGGGCATCGTGGAGCAAACAAATGTCAGATTCCCACTGACTAAAACCTATAGGGCAGAGGTCTTTGCTACCCTCCACCCCTCTCTCATCTCTGACCTATTATTTAGAGAATAAGTGGAAAATATGCACAAAATAATTTTGCCAAATGTGATAGAAGGAACATTCTTTACAGGATTCAATAGCTGTGAAGTTGTTCTGTAAAGAGATTAAATTATTATCTCTCTCTCTCTCTCTCTCTCTCTTTCTCTGTGTGTGTTTGTATGTGTTTGTGGGTGTCTGTGTTCCTTCATCACTGTCCACTTTTTATTTTTTATCTTTCTGAGACAGGGTCTCCCTATAGTCCCAGCTGGACTGGAACTCACTATGTAGACCAGGCTGGCATTGAAATCACAGAGATCTGCTTGTCTCTGTCTCTTGAGTGATTGGATTAAAGACATGAGCCACCACACCTGGCTCACTTTATTTTTAAGACAGGGTGTCAGGCTCCAGAGATGACTCAGCATTTAAGAGCACTAACTGCTTTTGCAAATAACCCAGATTTGGTTCCCAGCACCCATATGGAAGCTAACAACAGTCTGTAACTCCAGTTTCAGGGAATCCAGTGCTCTCTTCTGGCATCCACAGGCAATTTACAACATAGGTGCACTTATATACATGCAGACAAAACACTCATACACATAATGACAGGGTATCTCACTGCCCTGGAACTCAACAAGTAGACTAGGCTAGCTAGCCAGTGAGCCCTAGGGATCCTCTTGTCTATGCTTCACCAGCATTGGGATTACAAGCCACCACCCCACATGTGATACTGAAAATCAAACTCAGGTCCTTGAGCTTGTACTGACTGAGGGATCTTCCCAACCCAAGAAGTTAGCTTCAAACTGTAGGGTTTTTTTCCCTTGCATTTTCCTTAAGATGCTGTACTGAATACATTAGTTGTATGATTTGTTTACAAAGGAAATTGTGTATTAATCAATATGATAAATGGAAAGCAGAATCAGTTGTCACAGCAGGTGAAACCATCAAAATAAATGTAATGAAAACAGGAGTGTTGACACTTGTAGCTAAGGCAGAAGGCTGGGAGCCTGCATCTTTACTGTGTTTAGCAAAGTGAAGCAGGTAAAGGGAGTCAAAGATACAATTGGATTCAGTTGCTACTTAGGGTTTTCAGGACTGAGAGGGAGTGGGCTCTTCATTCTAGAAGTCAGTGTGTTCCCCACAGGGTCCCCAGTCCACTGCCACTCAGGAAAATCCCAGGTGGTTAGATGGGGAATCAGCAAATAGAGACATTGCTGGTGTCACATGATGGAATCTTCTCTTCCTTTAAGATCAGGAGGCTGGAGAGATGACTCAATGATTAAAAGCACTTGCTGCTTTTCCAAAGGACGTGGATTTGGTTCCCAGCACCCACATGGCAGCTAACAACCATCCTTAACTCCACTTTCAGGGGATCTGACACCTTCTGGTCTCTGTGGGCATTGCATTGCATGTGTGCACTTACATGCAGGCAAAATACTCATACACATAAAATAAATATAAATAAATTTAAAAAGTAAAAATAAAAGAATCAAGGGACTGGAGAGGTGGCTCGGCTGTTAAGAGCACCTGTAGAAGACCCAAGCTCAGTTCCCAGCAGCCATGTTGGGTGCCTTACAACTGCTGGTAGAACCAGTTCCAGGATATCCAATGCCCTCTTTTGGTTTCCAAGGGCACTTGCCCATGCATGTGGTACACATAAACTCACAGGTACACACACATACACATAAATAATTTTTAATTTTATTTATTATTTTTATTTTATGTGTATGCATGTATTGCCTGCATGTAAGTAAGTGTACCTATGTCGTGCAATGCCTGCAGTCAGAAGAGGCTGTTGGATCCCCTGGGACTGGAGTTACAGACAGTTGTTAGCTGCCATGTGGGTGCTGGGATTCAAACCGGGGTCTTCTGCAAGAACAACTATTGTTCTTAGCTGCTGAGCCATCTCTCCAGCCCCATAAATCTTTTTTGGGTAGGGGGGTCTTTTTGAAGCAGGGTCTCCCTGCTGTAGCCCCAGCTGTCCTGGAACTCACTATGTAGACCAGGCTGGCCTTGAACTCACAGAGATCCACCTGCCTCTGCCTCCCAAGTGCTGGGACTACAGGCGTGTGCCACCACACCCAGCATAAATCTTTTTTTTTTATGTGTTTGAGTGTATTGCCTGCATGTGTGTAAGTACATCCAGGTTATGCAGTGCCCGTGGAGGTCATCAGATCCCCTGAAACTGGAGTTACATTTGTTAGCCACCATGTGGGAGCCAGGAATCTGACCTCAGTCCTCTGCAAGAGCAGTCTGTGCTCTTAGCTGCTGAGCCATCTCTCCAGCCCCATAAATAAACCTTTAAAAAAAAAAAAAGAATGGAAGCTGGGCATGGTGGTGCATGCCTTTAATCCTAGCACTTGGGAGGCAGAGGCAGGTGGACCTCTGTGAGTTCAAGGCAAGCCTGGTCTACATAGTAAGTTCAGGTCAGCTGGGGCTACAGGGAGACTCTGTCTCAAAAAGACAAAAACGGGGCTGGAGAGATGGCTCAGCGGTTAAGAACACTGTTCTTGCAGAAGACCTGGGTTCGAATCCCAGCACCCACATGGCAGCTAACAACTGTCCTAACTCCAGTTCCAGGGGATCGGACAACTCTTCTGTCCTCCGCAGGCATTGCATGATACAGGTGCACTTACCTACATGCAGGCAATACATGCATACACATAAAATAAAAATAAGAGCTGGGCATGGTGGCGCACACCTGTAGTCCCAGCACTTGGGAAGCAGAGGCGGGTGGATCTCTGAGTTCAAGTCCAACTTCGTCCACATAGCTAGTTCCAGGCCAGCTGGGGCTACAGGGAGACCCTGTCTCAAAAAGACCAAAAATAAATAAATAAACAAATAAATAAATAAATAAAATATTTTTTAAAAAAGAAGAATGGGCACCTGCACTCATGTGCACATACCCACATGCAGACAAAAATATTTTTTCAAAAAAGAATGAAGTGGCCGGGTGTGGTGGCGCACACCTTTAGTCTCAAAAATACACACACACACACACACACACACACACACACATACACACACACAAAAGAATGAAAGTATGGTTTTGGTCTAGTCAATGGTAGAGTGCTTGCCTATCATACACAAGGCCCTTGGTTGTGGTTCAGTCTTCAGCACCAGCACCACATACACACATACACAAAATCATTTTCAGAAGAATCAAGTGTAGCTAGGTGTGGGAGCACATGCCTCTACTTCCAGCAGTTAGGCTGAGGCAGGAAGATCACAGGGTCCAGAACAACCCAGGCTACATAGTGAGACTCTATCTCAAAACAAAACAAAACAAAAAATAATTAAGTACAGCAGACCAATCAAAGAGATGAGAATGACTACTTCTGCAGGCCTCGTAGGAGGGTTGACTTTAATCCAGATTTCAAAGGATGAATAGTTTTCCAGGAACGTGGATTGGCAAGAGGAGCCTAAAAAGCAAGGTATGCACAGTATAGTCAGCCCAGTATCTGGTGGAAAAATTAGTTCTAGGACCGCAGTGGATGCAAAACTCTGTGTATGTTTAAGTCCTTTATTATACTATTGTATAACATCTCCAAATAATGTGCACACATCTTGCTGTATACTTATATTACTTGTTGTCATTGTGACAACAGAGTTCTGATACAGGGTCTCACTGTATAGACC